AGCCCTTTTTAGCCATCAAAAGTCCGTGCGGCGGACACACGCGGGTTGAACGTGGTTGGTTGGGTGTAAACGGTGGCTTGGTGTAAAGGGTGCTGCTGCTGCTGCCGCTCTGCTGCTTGCTGCTGCTGTTTGCTGCTGCCGCTGGTTGCCGCTTTTGTAGCTGCTGCTTTGCTACTTGTTGCGGCTGACGACGCCGCTGCTACTGCTGCTTGCTGCTTGCTGCTTGCTGCTGCTGCTTGCTGCTTGCTGCCGGTGGTGCTTGCTGCCGGTGGTGCTGCTGCTGCTGCGGCTTGATGCTGCGCTGCTGCTGCGTGGTGCTGCTGGCTGGCTGCTGGTTGGTGGTTGCTGCTGGCTGCTGGCTGCAGGCGGCTGCTGCTGCTGCTGGCTGCTGCTTGCTACAGAGGACTTGCACTTCACCGTTACAAGTTGTCTACCCCTATTTCTAACCTAATGCATGCATAAGCGGGTGGTAAATTTACCCCCCAGGCTTGCTATAACCATACACCGGCTATTTCCTCAAAACACTCTATTCTTGATACCTTTTACCAGTGCTTATCCTACACTACGGACGCCCTAGTGTATGCACAGTCCTTGTGATGCTTACCCCTCGTTCCGGCTCAAGGCATACATAAGCGGGGGGTAGATTTACCCCCCAGATTTGCCATAACCATAAGCCGGCTATTTCCTCAAGACGCTCTACTCCTTATACCTTTTACCAGTGCTTATCCTACACTACGGACGCCCTAGTGTATGCACAGTCCTTGTGATGCCAGAAATGCCTACCCCTCTTTCCAGCACAAGGCATACATAAGCGGGAGGTAAATTTACCCCCCAGATTTGCAATAACCATACACCGGCTATTTCCTCAAGACACTCTATTCCATATACCTTTTACCCGTGCTTCTCCTACACTACGGACGCCCTAGTGTATGTACAGTCCGTATGATGTCAGAAATGCTTACCCCTCTTTCCGACTCAAGGCATACAAAAGCGGAGGGTAAATTTACCCCCCAGATGTGCCGATCACGCATCTTCGTGCCTGCCAACGAGTGCACCCGGGTTGTTCCAATGTACCCTTCCCAGTCAGCGATGTCACATTTACATTCTTTAGCGCAAAGTATGTACATAGCAACCTTCCTCCCAAAACATGTAATCCCTACATGCTTTGCCGACTATGTAACTAGTACATCCGGTGCGATTCGGCTAGCTTTCGACCTCTCCCCCTGGCCTCAAGTTTTGAATGAACCTGTGAGCATCATGCTATGGGCTTGGTGCCTGATCGACATGTCCCCAAGCCTTTCTGTCATGGCTTGAGATCCAAGGAACAACGGCAACGAAGGGGTCACCTGCGTTGGAGGAGATGAAGGCAAAAAACATGTTTCTCTTTAGTTTCTCTTATATATATAAATATAGTGGGATGGATTCGACTGTGCAGGCAGAAAAAGTGGAAACTGTGGAACCACTGGAGAGCATGTCGCCTGCTCAGAGTTCCCAAGCAGCGACTCTAAGGCTTGTTGCGTATTACTATCGCCTTTTCCATTGCATTGGCCGTCTTGCAGAGGCAGGCGAAAACGGAATCAGGCATACCTGGCGGCGAAGGCACCCATGAAGGTGTTTATTGTATGTGAGGTAATGTGAACGTAGCCTGGCTGTCATCCATTCGTGTTGTCAGGTGGCCGCGAGAAACGTCCACAAGTAGAAGAAGTGGGGGAGGACAGACATTTCTTCGAAGACAATTAATTACAGACTTCAAGCTTGCTCCATGCAGTAGATAGACCGACGAACAGATTTGCCAACCAATTATGTAACTGGCTTTGTCCTACTTTCTGATGCGCGACTTGGTTGGTGGTATTCAACTCAAGAAGAGAGACGCGACATATGCGCACATATGTAAAACAATCGAGCCACATATATGAACTGACATATGAATGACATGTTTGGCTTGTCTCCTCTGTCTCTGCGTTTCTTCCCTAGACCGTGCTCCGGCCCTAAAGTCTTTGGCGGTTTTGTGCTTCCTGAAGCGGCTGCTTTCTGATGTCCTGGACGCCGTGCAATGCTGGATCGGAAGTTGTTTCGAGTGCCAGTTTTTACGCGGCATACAGTGATTTCTGCCATCTATCTCACAGGTATGTGGTAGGCGAGACGCATACTATACTAATATCTCACGTGGTATGTGGTAGGTGAGGGGGGGTTTGCCTTGTTTGGGGAGCACTGTTGTGATGGTAAGTGTTGAGACTATGATCATCCCGAATCTTTGGCATAAACAGCGGGCCCTTGGTTGAGTGTGGCTTTGTTCAAGTGAATGCTGTACATATATATATATACCAGCACCCTCCAACAGGCTGTTTGAAGACCCTAACAGGTGGTTGCTGGGCAATTGTTGTCACCAGGAAACACCTGTTGGAGGGTCCAGGTATATAGAATATTTTGAGTTTTCTTGTGGAGCATAAAGTTCACTCGCTGTCGCAGGAGAGCTCGCCCAAGGGCAAACCGACCGCTGGTTCAGCGTCTTCTCTCCAGAGTGTGCAATCAGAATTCGAGTCTGCGATCAAGCAGGATCGACCGCCGCGACGGCGGCTCATTTTGGCAGCCGTGAACGATGGCCTTGGGGTAAATGTGGAGTTCCAAGTGGGCGCCAGACCAAAGACGACCCTTTTAGGACACATATGCCTTCAAGCACAGCACTTGCAAGGTGAGTTGGATCTAACTCTGACAGCTTCGTTGCTTCGAGCCAAAGCTGATCCCAATCGTTTGCTTGTTGTGGACGGAGTCGAAGCACCGATTGCTACCACGCTGCTGTGCCTGGAGATCCACGACGCTCAAGCGATGGCGAGGCCGTTGGACGAGCTGTTGCTCCTGGGCCTTGGAGAAGCTGGAGCTCAGGGTGAGAAGGTTTGCCACCACCACGGACCGTCATCCGAATCTCCATGGGTCCTAGTTCTGCAAAGCGCAGAACAGCTTTGGGACAAACATGTCGAGGCACTGACGAAATTCAAGGCAGACATCGATGTTCGTTTTCATTCCGGCGATGCAGTTGCAAGCGCTCTGGGACACCAGATTCTTGCCAACAAAGTGCATGGTTGCAAGACATTGCTGAAATGCCGTGCTCGACCTGATAGCTATGTCGAGCAGTCCGGGAAAGAAGAGCGGCTAGTAGCTGTGGCACTTGCAGCTGAGAAACAAGTTGCTCTTGGCATGGTGAGGCTTCTTTTGGACCGAAAGCCAGACATGCAGGCAATGATCCAGTTTGAGGGTGCATCAATGACAGTAGAAACAGCTTTGAAGAATCTGGCTGCGAAGGACAGTGACTGGCTCAACCTCGCCGCAAGGGTGCAGTTGACTCTGGATGATGAAAAGAGTGATAAGGCTCGGAAGTCAGACTCCGACGCAGACCAGAACTCAGAAGGAGGGTCTAGTCGGTCTAGTGATCAGGAAGGTGATGCCAGTGATGGCAGTGATGAAGAAGATGACGATGATGATATTGCTGATGATGCAGAGAAGTCCAGCGATGAGGGTGAAAAGATCGACGTTCCTGAAGAGATACGTGAGAACGCAGAAGTGGTCGTTGCTGAGAAGGCCAGTGACAAGAGAGTTTTCCGGGTGACGCAGCTGATCAAGTCTGAAGGAGAAGAGACTCTTGCTGAGCTCAAGGCCTTGGATGGTGGGGGCGAGCATCTTGAGAAACCCATTCCACTGTCCAAGCTCATTGCCTTGGAGCCACCCTCTGCGCATGAGAGCAGCTTCGCTGCGAACAAGGACTATGCTTTCTGGGACTTGCATCAGGGAAAGGTGCACAAGAGCATGAACGTGATTGGGGGCTCTGTGAATGTTGGGACTAGTCGCAGTGGGCGCGATCGAGTCATCGAAGTGCCCAAAGGCACCCAGCTGGAATTTGAGCCGCCTCCCCACCTGCAATATCCGAGCAGGCCTCAATACACTGCCATCATCGAGTTTCAAATGAAGCCATTTGAGGGAATCACTGCCCTCTTGCACACATCTGCAGAGTTGGGGGAAGCAGAACTGGTCGTAGAAGGATCAACGTCGGAGAGTGGAAGTCCTCAACCCACGTTGAAGCTCAGGTCCAGCGGAAGTCAAGAGACGGCCTTGTCTGCGCCCTTGTCATGGAACTCCTGGCGTCGTATCGTTGTGACGCGGTCCGCTGATGGATTAGCAAGTCTGATGGTGAATGGAGAGGAGGTCCTACCGGTTTATCCCAAAGCCAATGATTCCTCTGGGGTGCAAGAAGCCATAGTGGAAGCGTCTTTGGGAACACTTCAGAGTGCCTTCCGAGTTTTTGGGTCGAAGCATGCACAGGAGTCGTCCAAAGGCTCCTCCTTGAGGTTTGTGCTCTTGTGCCGTGAGGCTTTGGGTGCATCAGCAGTGCAGATCCTTCTCAGGAAGACCAAGCAGCTGATGAAATCGATTCAACAGCAGCCACTTGTGCTGCAAGAATTGAAATTGATGAAGAAACAGGCCCATCCAATATTCTTGGACGCTTCATTCCTCGGTTGCTTTTGTGACGGCTTCACCAAAGCCGATTCGCAGCCTAAAGAAGTGGTGCAAAGCCATCGGTTGATTCTTTTCATGTTCGAGACCTTGATAAAGGAGAGTCAGATGACGAAAGGCCCGGATGTCGGGGTTCCGCTGGAATTGCTGCAGCTGACCTACGAGCACCTTGAGCGCTCCTCCAAACTCTTTGCGAAGTTTGACCAGTTGTGGGAATCATCGGACAAGAAAGAGCAAGTCCCTTTGGTCAAGAACTTTCTGAAGCTCCTGAATGAGTTGCGGTCAAGCCTAGCAGAGAAGGGATCGGACTTCGGACCTTTGATCATCCCATTCGGCCTGCACAGTGTCGAAATGACTCGGCAAGACCGGCGAGAAGAGGAAGAGAGAACAGAGACACGTGGGAAACAATTCGTTTTGCTTATCTTGGAGAAGCCCGACGACACCTACCGTCTCACAGTTGTGAACCCTGGACAGGGTAGAGAGTTCCACAAGTCTTCTGTCCAGGGGCACCCTAAAGTGAAGTACCAAACAGCCATGGTTCTTGAGGGCCTTAGTCGTGAAAAGGCAGAAGACGATGCTTTTTGGCTGACTCTTTTTGCTGCCGTTCCCATAGCAGGTCCACGGTCAGCATGGCACCTCCTATACGATCTATTCCTCCCCTTCCTTTTGGGTGCAAAAGGGGGGACCAAGATGCTCGAAGATGCGCTTCTTAGCTCCCGAGATACCGATTGGCGGACTCCGCAACATGGCGGCGGATGCTGGAAAGTGATCATGCATGGAATTCGCCAACTATTGCGATCAAACTCAGTTTCGGTGGCAAATGCAAAGCTTCTGCAGTGGAGGCTGCGACAACAATTCCTGCAATTGGCACTGAAAGATGTTGATGCCGCTCCACGACTCAGCCACGGTCAGAGGACATGTCTTCGCATGGCTGCTTCGCAACTTGGGCTTGCGGCTGTGAAGCTTAGTGTCCAGATGCCGGACACAGATGGATCTGGTTTTCTGAAAGAAGCCAAGCAGCTTGTCGAAAAGACCGAAGAGGCTCTAGCGGCCAAACCAGTGTTGCATTCAGGAGAGCTTCCACTTGCTGAGCTGCAGCCTAGTGCTTTGACCGCGAGAGCGCATGAGCAAACCACTGCTCATCCCAATTGGGACTATTTCATAGGGCCTCGACCCAACCCTTGGCAGTCACTCAGTGTACCTGCTCAGATCCCATTGGATTTGTTGGCTTTGAGGGAGCGGGTGGAGACGGTTGAGGAAGCGATTCATGCGCTCTACACAGCTAAGGACGTTTGTCGAACACTCTCTGGAATGCGCGAAGCTGGTCGGTGCAAGTTTGGCCACCTCCTAATCGTCAATGTTTTGCAGCAGCTTTTCACAGAAATCGTTCCTACTCCACTCGGGCCAGCATCTTCCCACAAAGATGCCATTTGGTCGTGCCACCGCGACTTCAATTCTCCGCATGAGTACCTGACCAGGCCGATGGTATCAGACTTGCAGCAATCTTTGCTCGAACTTTGTTCGCAATTTGCAGCAGCAGCCTTTAGCATTCACACTGTAAGGGTGAACAAGGCGGACAGTGACACTGATGCAGAGGTGCAGAGGGCACATCCGAGTCGAACTTTTGATTCCACCATTCTTTGCATCTTTGGGGCGATAGCTGCCTTGTCCGACCGCTTGGCGCGTATGATTCCGCAGGACCATCAGAGCGACTGGCAAGATAAAGCTCGAAAGAGCGAGGAGAGCTCCTCTGGGCTGCCGCCGGTTCCCCTGAGCCGTGTCACTCAAACACTTGTTGGCACAGAAGATTCACCCGGCTTCGCCATTTTGATTGACACCTTCGTAGCTCAGTCGGAGACGATAGAGGTAGCCATCCCTGCACTGCACATGAGCCGCTCAGCAGTCATAAATTACTTTGAGGAAGTAGCTGAATCCATGGACTTGCAGGGGGATCCAGCGCGTATCCTGTTTGATTGGGAGGATGGGAACTGGCAGATGTTTTCTTACGCTCACTATGGCACTTCAGTCTTCTGCCGAACTCTTGCGGCCTCATATTTGCCTGCAGAAAAGCTACTGACAGGGGAGGAGCCACACCTGATGGCTCATTTTCCAGACTTCAGAGCGTTCAGAGATGTTATATTTTGGTTCAAGTATGCATTGTGCACTGACCTCACAGTATTTCCGCAGGGGTCCTTTTCACCACACACAGCGAGTTTGAGATGGGAGTTTGAAGGAGGCAGATACAAAGTATCAGGCCTGTGCCAGACCTTGCTTGGAGGTGACAAGCAGGTGATACCATCTGTGGACGGTCGCCGCTGGCCAAGCAGTGCAGCAGCATCCAACCACACTCACAGCCCTGTGCAGCGGGAAGACGACTTGCTTTATATGAGGAGTTGGCTGTTGGCATTTTGAAGCTCCACCTTTGTGACGCCAGTGTTGAAAATGCTGTGTCACGCATGCATCAGTCCATATCTTCACGGAGAGCTTTCTCCACGGACATGTCACCCCTTTGAGAGTTTCTTCCCGTGTCCTATGCCTGGTTTAGCCAAAAGTGAGCAGAACATTTCTGTCCTCAAACTTTGCGATGGGTACGAAAACCACTGGCCCTCCATGCTGGTTGCTTGCTGAAGTCTGGCTTTGGGTATCCTCTCCTGACCGCCAGCACGACTACTATTCACCGGGACAACTTGACAAATGTTTAATTATTTGTTGTATTGTTCACTTTTTCTGCTGATTCTTCTTCATCCCCTTTGTAGTATGAACTGCCCCATGAGTCCCTCTTGGCCTGGTGCCGTCTTAGCATCTCGGCCCTCTTTTTTGCGGAGGCTCCCAGTCCTCATCAGACTTGGCCTTGCTGACTGTAGTGACTCTCCATCTGAAGATGACTCAAGTTGGGGGGAAACGACCGCTCCAAACAGTCGTGCCACGTGCCAACAAGAGAAAAGGCACGCTTGGGACAACCTGTCCCGCCAGTCATATCGATACAAGACCCCATTTGCTCACACTTGCCCTCACCACACTTGGAGCCACGGTTGGGGTTCCTCACGAGAATCAAGTCAAGAGTCTTCAAGATGAACAGTCGTCAGTCTATTTGACCAAATAGATCGTGCACAGTATCGCGAACGGTTCTCGGTTGATTGCTTCCCGACGGTGCCTCGCGAACTTAAATAGATATAGATATATACATATAACATATTGGATTTCGGATACGTCCATGTATGGATAGTACTGTCGCACCATTCCTAGCCAAGTTGCAGTTCTCTTCCTTGCACAGTGCGCCAGTTGCCCACCTTGTGTTCAATCTTACCGCCCTTCTCAATATTGGTTTGGCGCTCATCTTCCAACAATCCAGGGTCCACAGGACAGGGTCCTTTCTTTGCAGGGGAAACTCCTTTTCATTGTCCTTGTGGTGGCGAATCAGTTCCCTTCTATGATCAACTTCCAGTAATCCACCGCAGGATATGCAGCAAATAGACAGAAACAGAATACTTTACTTTGCCCTATATAGTGAGAGCAGGAACTCTTGTCACGCTGTGCATTCATGCGTACTCAAAGCAAAGTGCTGTCCAATGTTTTGGAAGTCCATGAGCTATTGGGTTTCTTACTTCAAGTACAGGAAGCGCTGCATGTGTGCATTTTCGAGCCTGGGTGCTGCTGCTGTGTGCGCTTGGGAGCAGGGGTGCTGGCGCCGCTGTGTGCACCTGGGAACTTCCGTGTGCGCTGGAGCTTGCAGTGCTGGTGCCGCTGCAGGGTGCCACTGCCAGATGTGTGGCCGTGTGCGCTTTGGAGCTTGGGTGCTGGTGCCGCTGTAATGTGCTGCCCACGAAATGCTGGTGTAACTTGTAGAGGCCCCAGCAACAGACCTGGATCCTCACGACCGGCAAAGTTGCAGAAACAGTCGTTTGCCGTTCTCGATCCCATCGCTCTTGTGCATCCAAGGTCTATGATTGTTATTGTTGCTGAGAAGTGGTTCTCTGTCAAAGTTCGAATTAGGCCCCACATTCATTGTGCACATGTTTGGCTCGTAAGTAAGTAATCTCCTGTGATCACTTTGTTGGAGGAGGAACTCATAACAATGAGACTGGCCAGTGTTGACCCTCTCGCTGGAGGCTGCGAATCTAGAATCTAGAGCTTGGTCCTGGCACCTGTAAATTCATAGGCGAAGCTGCTGTGGAAGTCAAGGTCCTTGTCGAACATGTTGGTGGTGGAGAAACCTTGGGTTCATTTCCAATAGTTACGATGGCCCCTGCGAAACTGTTGAGAAATGCTGCTGCTGCTGCTGCTCCTTCTGCTTCATTGATCAGTTGAAGGAACAGATCAGCACTAACAGGTTGTACCAAGATCAAGTTTACGCTACGCCGCTACGCTCATTTTCCTTTGGTAATGGCTGGGAACAGTGGCCTGGCTGCTGCAAACATGACAGACTCCAGCATTGCACCGGGCGTGCTGCATCATCATGGGAATCCATTGGCCAATGTTATCTTGACAAAGGCTCCTAAGGTCGTCGGCTGTTCGGGAATTCAATTTGTTCACATAAACTGTTCTTTGGGCTCATTGGCTGGGAAAAAACGTGCAGAGCGTTAGGGTTCGCGTCATCATTCCATGATTCGATGCGCAGATTTGTCCGGTTGCAATTAAAGCTTGCGTGATACATTTGTGGTGCATGGACTTTCTCAACCGCCTCCTCTCCTGTGAGGAGACTTTCCAACTTTCAGAACATGCTCCTGGCGGGTGATGTCGAATTGCTCCTCAGTTACCTCACAGTCCCATACCTTTGCCAACCTTTGCTGCTTCGCTTCTTCTGCCGACATGACCGAGTGCTGGCGTTGCGCGACCCAGCGTTGCGGGAGATGCTGCAGGCTGCATTGTTTGAACCAGGTCGCATTGTCCTGAGCAGGAATGCCTCCGAGTGTCCCCAGCAAGTGCCAGCCACAGGAAGAGCTGAGATGGCCTTGGTTGGGTCTCCTAATGGACAGCTTTTGTTGGAGCTCACGCATTCACCACAGCCACTGCTCGAGGCTCTCGCAGAGTGCGTAAAACTGGCATTGGATGTAGCCACTTCATCAACTTCAATGACAGTCGACATAGTTTTGTTCATTTCAAGGCTTTACGCCCGAGTGATGAGTGCAGTCACATTCGTGCACCAAGTGATGAGCGGGGAGCACAGGTCCCAGCAAAGAAATTGGGAGTTCAGTTTGCCGAAAGCAGGAACTTCAAAACATCAGAATGTTGTTGGGACCCTACAGCAAGCAATGAAGGATCAACGGGATTGCGCTCTAGGGGCGCAAGGGCAAGGCCTTTTGACGTGCTTGGACAGCTGGTTGAAGGAACTTTGGCATAACATCGAGAAGAAGCCCGACCTCATGGATGAGAATGTGCAACGGATGTGTGACATCCATGCACACATTCTGCTGCTACTGCGCAGCATGCCACTTGTTGGAAGGGCGCACGCAAACCAAAAACGATCTCCTTGTCACCATGTGCAGATGCTACTTGGGTCTTACTCATTTTTGATGGCCCACCATAGCTGGAACACCGGGCTGTTGCAGATACCTGAGCCAGAGGTGATGGAGGTTCTTCAAGTGCAGAGGCGTTTCTTGCTAGAATGGCTTGACTCTTGTGATGCTAGCAGTGAGTTTGATGAAGCTTTGAATACCGTTCTGCAGCCGTATGTCATCGACGACCATGGCCATGATTTGCAAGGTAAAATGGCCTGGGGCAAGATCAATGATGATGTCTTGCAATCAATGGGATGCTACGCGCTTCATGAACGCACTGGTTCAGGATGCATCTCGCTCTTGCCTCGAAAGGGGACGTACTGGTTGGAAGTGAACCTCCAATTGTTGCAAATATCCATGAGGGACACATCAATGCAAGCTCTGGATGGAGATGTCGTGAAAAGCTCTGCTTTACAAAAGGTTTTGCACCGCAAAAACCAGAAAGTGCAAAACCTGCAGGGAATCAGAGTGCTAGAATCTCAAACTGCCGTAGTGGTCGAGCTCATGTCACATGATTTGCTGGTTTCGACATGGGCCCCGATCGGTAGCCACCAGCCAGAGTTTTTGCCGAGCTGCATGGGCTATGGAGACTTGTATGACGCGAAGGGCTTGCAAGAAGGTTTGGACTGGGTTGGAGAGTTGTTCGAACCCATCAGGTTGCAGTTCTTCGATACTGACACGCCTCCGCAGTTCTTTCTCAAGAGTGATGCTGCAGCTTCGGCATCAGTGGCAATTCTGGCTGGTATCCATCCAAAGCTGCCAGGAAAGATTTGGAAAGAGGCACATATTTGCAGGAGTTTGCAGATGGTTCAAATCTTTGGGATTCGCAGCTATGGCCATCAGTTTTATCGGGTGCTGGAATATTGTTCCGACTGCCGCTTCAGCTTGCGACACATGCAGCCAAGTTCAGATGATAGAGAGTCGGTTTGGCCAGCCCTCGAGCGCTTTGCAGCTGGTGAGCCTTCGGATTTAGACTCAGACGCTGTGCATAGCTCTTCAACCACAGTGTATCGTCGCCAAATAAAAGTTGGCACCGACAACGATGAGGAAGAACGCGCTACTGGCCGCCATTGGCCTCCACAGAGGTCCGAAGATCAGTTAAACAATGAGGTCATTGAATCTTCGGATTCAGAACTAGACATCAGTGACATCAGACTGGAGACTTGTAAAGTTCAGTTTCTGGAGCCATTTAGTGTTGCTCAAGGTGTGCAGGAGGTCAACTTCAGCCTTGTGACAGAGCTCCAGCCAGACACACTCGACACTGAGTGCAAGTACAATATGGAGTTTGGAAAGCAGCCCCAAGCGCAGCGAAGCGAGTTCAATGAGGCTCGACGCTGAACGTGGAGAGGCCAAACATATATTCAATATTATTCCCTGAATATATGTTTGGAAATAGTATTGAAGTTTGAATATAACATTTCATAATATTTTATTATAGTTATGCAATGTTATGCAAAATGGTATTCATATATTCACTCTGCGCGCCTTACTCACATTGCTAGTGCACGCATGGTTCTGTCGGCCACTTCAACTCACCAAAGTAGTCCACCATTTACCAATGCGCATCATCCTCGTATGACACCTTGCGCGTTTGGGGCACGTGTCGAGGTCCATGCAAGTTGCAAAGTGGCAAATTACTTTTTTTGCAAAATTGTGGGCGTTTTATTTGCCAGAGTTGGCTGGTGTGCTTGCTGAGGTCTTCCATTCGAGAACTTGAGAAGAACACGTTCATTATGACATTAATTTGAGCTTGGCGTTGTTCTTCAGTTGCCACACACGCATGTGACCATCCAGTGCACTCTAGTCGGCCAGAACGCATCCACCAGACAAACCCATAACCTGCACCACTACTCCCAACCCAGCAAAGCCAAGCCCAATTTCCAAACCATGGCCGCGAGAAATTTGCCGGGAAAG